TAAATTGGGTCGTGTGTAAACTTTGCAATGTGTTGATTGAGGAACATGCTCGACTAATGATACTATTGCTAACATTGACATTGGAGTGAAATAGGGTAGCGGGACAGTTTATTTTCATACCTTAAGCAGAGAGGAGACTGCATGTCCTGGTTAAATGAAGCTTCAACATGTGATAAACAGTTTGTGTAAATGCTATCAGATTTATTTGAATCACAACAGGTCACAAATGATTTCCTGGTTATTATCTGGTTGTATACTTTTATGATTGAATCTATCCTAATCCGCAAACACCCCATTCACTGATTACATCATGACCTACAGTTAGTCTGATTGAAGTGCAGTACAATGTCAGAAGATATAAAGCAAATATTTAATCTAGTTATTTTTGGATGTGATGTAGGACTCCTCTACACTGTAAAAAAAACAATGAAATGTGAAGTAATAATTGCTTCAATATAGTGTATTCTATCTTAATTTGAGTACATCCTGATTGTCTTAAAACAAGATTTGCCAATGGGGCTAAGCCAGAAGATTTTACATTTTTCCATTGGCAGTTGTTTAAGGCAGTCAAAGTGTGCTGAAGTTACGATACATTTAGCCAAATTTGAGACATTTTTTAACGTAATTTCATCACCTTTTGCAGTGTAACCCTTTGCTGGCTGGTACTATGGAAGCTGTCATACCCAGAACAGTCCAAGTCAATACAAATGTGCCGCTGATATCTTTCATTTAGTATCTTTATTACGCATGAAAGTAAAGTCTTAAAGTTTCAATAATAGTAAAATCGTACCTTTAAATACATGTTCTGTATACACACAACATTCAGTACATGTCTGCAACATTAAGTGCAGACCAGTTCTGGTTCTGGGCCGATTGCTTTTCTACTGTGCCATTGTGTGAAGAGAGACAGCATAGGCGTGGTGATGAGTTTTGAGCTCTTCAGGCATGTTCGGAAACTTCAGTTACATAATCAGTGGAGTAAAACAGATATAGGTTTAGCATGTCCTGACTCATTTGTTTGAACTACATATGCAGAAAGTATGCGTGTAGTATTCAGTGTCAAAGTGTTTCTAGTAGTGGGTTAGCTAAATGTACATTATGTCATGAACCATGCAGTATACAGGGATATTTTAGAAAGCCATTGTGACCCACAATTTCTTTCTTAAACATACAAAGTGATGTAATCATTCCAGCTACAATCACATACGCAACAGGGCCACATGCATCCACGCTACACCAGGTGACAGATTGCTGGTTGAAAAAGCTTTGAGATTCTCCAGATAAGGCTGTTTAATGAATAACTCTGCTGTTTCAGGGTGTTTGCTGCTCAGTGGCTGGAAAATTAGCAGCAATAACATGCAAACACGGGATAATGGCTGAGGGGCCTGCAGGTAACGCAGGGATCAATACAGTCGACAAGTAGCCACAGTTACACTGCAGAAAATGATAAAACATGAAGTAATAATTGCTTAAATTAAGTGGTTTTATCTCAATATATATTCTGATTTTCTTAAAACAAGATTTGCCAATGGGACAAAGCATTTAGTCTTACTTCAAGAACTGTTGGTTTTTTCCTCATTCCAAGGGAGACATTTCTTGTATCTTTTTCAAACAAGATCATTTTTGCTTGTCCCATTGCCAAATCAGTCTCACTCAAAATGTGCTCAAATTAAAGTAATTTCGTGGCCAGATCTGAGAAATGTTTTACTTGTTTTTCACCACTTTTCGCAGTGTATCGCCTGCAAGATTTATTTATCCCGTGTTGGCTTCATGTTTGAAGATATAAGACAAGCATAAGCAGGTTCAAACCACTAAAGTGATAACATTTGACAAGGAGAAGGATCGAGAATTATGAGTCAACTGCTTTGAAATCTAAATCTAAGCTCCCTTCTGCTTTTAGCATATTGCGTATTTCCCCATGTTTTTATACTATTTATTGCCTGTAATCGCTTATTATCACAGTGGGACTCAAACTACCAGGCCTCATATTAAAGCGTGTGTGACAAGTTACTTTATTATCCCAGTTATGACTTTAATTGGGAGGAGAGGATACATATTCACAGCAGTTTTACATCAGTCAAGTTTCAGTTTGGGACAAAAAGGAAGTCATGCTTATGTCTAAAAATGGAGTCTATCCTTCAGTGCATTCCTCAACTGTCCTGTGGTGACCTGCTTTTTGTGATTTGTTCCGATACCTGCTTCTTTCTATGGATATGTCATTGCTAGAAATCTGGCTCAGTTCTGTTTAAAACGTGTGTATCTCTCAATTAAAGAGGATTTTATGGCTTAAAACAAGAGGATTTGTCTCTCTTGAAACTTAACCGAGTAAAGTCAAGTAAAGCCGAGTAAAGTTTTTAGCTGAACCCCAAAAAAATGCAGGCCACCACCAGGACTGAGAAAATGCACCTTTAAAGTTGAAATTAGTATGAGTGAAAAGCAATTGATTATCTGATCATTTGAACAGAATCAAACATATTTCTACTTACCATAACAATTGTGTAAATGAGGGGAGGAGCCTTCTTTACTTTGTGGTTGCTATAGTAACTACGTATACACTACTTACTAGGCTGTTACAAGCTACATTTTAAAAGAAAGTCTAACCCTGACCCTGACCCTGGCCGATAGACAACTGTTGAAACACAACACAATATGATTTAATGACGAGGTGTCAAAGTACCCTGTTAAAATCTGGTGGTTAACAGTAAATGTGCTTCCCATCTCTATTGGGTCTTGATGGACTCAAAACAATGTAACAGGATTTAAAAACTATAAACCCCAGGGAGTCCTCTAATGAATAAAGACACATACATTGGTTGCATTGCTAAAGAGACTGCAGGGTTCTAAGATTTTTTTACAAGGTCGCTGTCATGTTCTGAAAAGGATGAAGGACCCAAAATGCAGGACTGCCAAAAAGTAATACAAATCAAGATCTAGTAAAACCACAAGGAACGAGGACAGAACTAAAACAGACGAGGAATGACAATGACGAAACAGGGAGTGAAGGAACACACAGGGCTAAATACAAGACTAACGAGACAGGAAGTACAACCAAAGAAGACGCAGGGATTTAACAAACTACAAAATAAAACAGGAAATAACTCTAAACCATTTCAGTCCATCACAAGTCTTTCGGTATTTGTTTTTTCTCCTGCAGTTCTACATTACAACAAGAAAACCTGCATCTTATATTCAAGAGCGGCTTATATGTGGATCCAATTTACTTTTTCTTCAAATTTAGCTGGTGCGGTTAATATACAGGTGAGCTTATTAGTTCTGCGAATACTGTACTTTCACTGACACAATTGTTTTAATAATAATAATGAGGCATATAACGGTTTTTAGACACTCAAAGATGCCTCGCATGTATTCATCCACTCCATACAGTTTGGTGATAAGCTTTTGTTTTCCAGTATTCAGATGTATACACACAGACCCATAAAATACATCCTATTATCTACACTCAGTGAGAGTAGATGCTGGGAGCTTGTGAAAAGTTTCAAGCCTGGATTGGTCCAGAGGAAGGAGGAGCAGTGTTATGTCATGTTAGAACACTGTGTATTTGTTTTAAGATCTGGCACCCGCTCATATGTTCTCACAATATCCAGATGCCCAAAATAAACAACTTTGCGAATCACAATGTTTTCTAAGTGTTTTGAATTCATTTGCATATCATGACCATGTTAGGAACAATGATGCGGACTGAAATGTCTCCTCCCAGATTTCTTGGAAGTCTTCTAAGCCTTGTTCCTTGAAAGTAATGCAGACCGGTAGTATGGCGTCTCGTTTATTCTTGGTCACACAATTATAAACACTTTTCTAGTAGGGGGAACTAGAGGTGGAAGACATGGAGGGGTTGATCAAAACAAGACTCATAGATACGTGAATGTAGTGGAGAAATACTTTGGGGGAGTGTGAGCGGAGGCGTTCTGAGCAGTAATATGAGCCACGTGTTTACCAGGGCCCCCAAAAAAATAGGCCCACAAGAAACTTCTTCGGACAATTTGTACAGATATCTGCTGAGCTCACAAAGAGGATCAAACCCACGGATTATATTGAGTGACATTAAATCAGTAATATATTCAAATGTATCATAAATATGAAATAGTACAAATACAGATATAACTCAAAATTATGGGAATATTTAATGTAAGGTGTCAATTTTTATCCAATCAAAATAGATTAATAATAATAATAATAGTAATGATAACAATAATAATAATAATAATAATGCATGCTACTGATTCTGTACAGCGCTTTTCATGACACTCAAAGTAATTTCACGTGTTTGTTCAATATACACAATGATAGTAGTTTATCTGTAATAAACTACTGCTGTAGATAGAGGTGCCCTGGGGCAGACTGAAAGAAGTCAGCCACTCAGTGCCATCAACTCCTCTGACCACTACCAATTATTTGTGCACACACCAGACTCATGCTAGGCAACATCGGTGAAGTGTCTTGCCTAAGAACACAAGAACAGTTTGGCTCTGGGGCACCTGGTGTTCCCAGAGGTCTCCCATCACAGTACTAACCAGACCCTGCTCTGCTTTGCTCCTGAAGTCTGACAGGATCAGGCTTTCAAATGCATGTGATTCAATTTGGGATTTAATGAAAGCTTGAGTTCCTAACTTTAAAACCACCGAGGCGACAGTGGCTCAGTTGGTAGAGCATTGGCCTTAGAGCCTGAGGGTCGTGGGTTCGAGCCCACCAGAAGACCTACTTCGCGACTCCCACTGATGACTGCTGTCGGTGTGTCCTTGGGCAAGACACTTAACCCCACTTTGCCCCCGCTGAAAGATCTCAGCTCCTGTGGACTCACCACCTGCAGGAGGATCAGTGAGGGGCTGGTGCTCAGTGTACTGGGTGCAGCTCTGCCTGCCACCCTCCCGACCCAGAAATGGATTAAGGGGAAGAAAATGGATGGATGGACAGATAAAGTAGTAAAATCCATACACCTATTCTCAAAACTGAATGGCTATAGCTCTAGTTTTCTTCTTGAAATCAGATTTTTCAGTGAAAAATAGAGTATGGTGCTCACTCAGCCAGTCATCATTCAGTGCATATCGTGCTGTGATTTGTCCACAACGTGTTACTTAAACCGTAGTAGTTTATCACCACTGTGTCTGGAGTGAATAAACACTGACATGTGAAACGTCTTTGAGTGTCCATATAAAGTGCTATGTAAAACTAATACATTATTATTATCATTAATTATTAAACAAGGTTCTTTCTAAATATATTCAGAAAGACCCCTAAATATATTTATGACGACACCAAAAAATTAGGTACTCCTGCTCTAGGGTAAAACTATTTTTTAAACTCTACTTTAAATGTGTTATTACATGGATTGAAAAAATGCTCCAAATAGTCTAACTCTGATCCTCTAGACTGGGCCTATTTCTTCTCGGCCCTTATCTGCAGACTGAGGTTGCACATGCTGCTGCAGATAATCGTTTTTTAGCACCACTGACAACGTACAGTGGCTCTTTTCACTCTTGGTCCAAACCTGTTTTCACCTCTGCTCTGGAAGATGTGGTAATTGTTTGGCATGCATTATTCCAGTTTAAAGGGCTTACCAGGGTGTGGAGCTGTCATGCTTTGAGGACAACTTTGTTTACAAATGCTGAGACTTCGAATACATAAGTAAAGCATGTTTTCTTTTGGGTTTGAGTGGGATATATACATTTGATTCTTTAATGGAAGTATGAACAAACAACAACCCGATTTCAGTCTTGTGTCAGATTCAAGCCCAGACCTGTTTTTGGCAGATCTAGTTCCTCAACAGACTCTATTTTAACAACAAAGAACCCTGTGCGTTGTTGTATTGTTATTTTTTCAGTGAGGGCATTGATAATTGACACTTTTTTTTTTACAGTCATGCAGTTCAATTCAAGTATAGTCTCAGCACTGTCTTTTGAGCGCTGAGGACTCCAGGTAATGTTTTCACCCCAAGTTCTGCATATTTCCAGTATTCCCTCTCTTAGGCCCCGCCTCACAACTCTTGACGAAGCTGTTTTTGAAAGTCTGGCTCAATCCAGTTCCCTCTAGTACCTCCTCATCCTACTCAGGCTCCTTCCTCCTCTGCAGCGTTCCTTGTTTTTGCACCACTTACTGTGCATTTTCTACATAGTAAAAGTCTTTGTTTTGTACTTCTCCTGTTTCTGGTCAGCGCTTCAGTGTCATATGAGATGTTTGTGTGTTTAAAACGTTGGAATTCTTTTGACAACATGTTTTTCATTCTTGGCAAGATGTGACCCACTTTTAAGTTCTAATACATCAAAGGAAACAGCTATGTTTTGGTGAATATTTTTCAGTCAGCTCTCAGTAATCATAATTCCATGTTTCAAAGCAAATGGGCAAGCAAACTTCATTTATTTAGCCTACCCTTTGTTTTGTCCTGACTTTTCTTATGTTGGGGCAGCA